GGCACCGTTTTTCCAAACTAAACTGATTTAATTTTTTTAACCTTTTTTCATAACTAAAATGCTCCATTCCTTTTATCAATTTGGAGCTCATCTCTTGACTTTTTCTAGTGCCATGATATCTTTCTTTAGAAGAGGAGCCCAAAATTGCACAGCATTTTCAAGGTGTGGTCTTACCAGCAATTTATAAAGAGGCAAAATTATATTTTCAACTTGAGAATTTATGCCCCTATTTATACATGACAGTTCAGGCGTTTAGTATTGTGGTAATGAGTAAGCGATTCTACCTGGTCAGCGGTAGGCAATACCTGTGAGTAAGTAACAAAAGTAAGGATACCCCAGGCAAATCAGGCATCATGTGACACTGTGTCATGATTGTCTGGCTAGGCGTTATGGTAGTAGTTTTGTTATAGCTGTGTATATAGAGTGTGTGCTATGTTTTGCCCTAGGTAACCATGATAGAATTACCACTGTCCCCCCCATGTACCGACTGTAGGAACCTGTGTTAGGCGAGCTCTAGTGATCAGAAACATTGGTGGACTGTGTAATGGGCAGGCATTTCAATGGTAAGACAGGATCTTGTCGGTAGGGTGTCTCCATGGTAGGCAACGTGTTGTCAGTCCCAGACCCAGGGGGTCTTGCCCAGACTTGGAAACAGGTGAGTGTAGTCCTGAGTTATTGCTGGGCAGGGGCGTTGCATGGTCACTTTCTAGCCCCAGGTCTTGTTTTGGGGGCCATGTTGCTTTTTACGGGCTGATGGGTTGAGTATTCGTTTCGCCTCTGTACCGGTGCAGTTGGTCGCCGTAGTGGCTGCTGGTGCTACAGCATTTACTGTGGATGTTCTGTGGGTCCCGGCTTGGTTTTGAGTCACTGTGCTTTGTGCGCTGCTCTCAGCCGTTGCGATGGGAACTTCCCGCCTCGCGGCCATTTTGGGCCCTTCATCCGTGCTGGGACTACAGGCGTCTATCGCTTGTTTAGTGGCTGTGGTGGAGGTGAGTGTACGTTTGGCTGCTGTTGGGCATAGAGCTGCATCGTCTCCTCCAGGTTGCGCCAGAAGGTTGCGAAGGCCCTGTCCAGTCTGACCTCAATGTCTGCCCATACTGCTGCAGTTTCTGGGTGTCTCGTGGCATCCACCATGTTGGCTCTGTCGGAAGATGTGCCCAAAGCTGTAGTCATTTTGTCCCTCCTGTGCTGTGGGTCAGAATGTCACCCCAGGGCTGGACCTGGATTACCCCCGCCGCCAAAGGGGGGGGAAGCGGGGTCCTGCTCTACCTTATAAGCCCCTGTGCCTCTCAGAGCTGGGAGGTCGGCCAACCCTCCCGCCCGGTGGTCAGTGGGCCGCATGGCTCCTAGTGTGCTGCTCGTTGGCTTCAGTCAAGCTTCTGCCCTCGGTAGTTGCTCGCTGCTCGTTTATGAGGTAGGTAAGGCTTTAGCTGGGTTTTGTCTCTGTTTTAGTTCGGCTAAAAATCGCTTTTTTGCCAGATGCAGTGAGGAGCTCATGCAAGTTGCGTCTCTACAGCTTGGCGGTCGGGCCCGCCCGCCGAATTTAGTAATAATTTAAATACACAGTATAGTGTGCCTTATTATATACTCTAGGTGAATGTAAGTATTTAAAATGTTTAGTTGGCAAATTAATGGTGCACTAAAAATAGAATTTTCTTTCCTCTTCCCTTGCCTTTCTTTTCCAATTATCTTTCTACTCCCTCACCTTTTAGAAGAAAAAAGGGGAAAAAGAGAAAAATAAGGGTATCTAAGGAGTTTAAGTTTAAAAACCACTTCCTTTTAACCGCTAAGGCGGTCATTTAATGTTGGTGCGCACCTAATATAAAGTGATGCACAATATTGGGGAGGACTCTGTTCTCTCTGGGCGAGTCGGTCAAGGGGGTTTTATGTTTTTTGTTAAAATATGTTTAATGGTCATGTATACATCTTGGTCCTCGGGTGGTGCTATTGGGGATTTCGGAACTGGAGTAAGGAGGTCACATAATAAAATTCTTTAAATGTTAGAGGATAAAATTCATTACAGAAGCTAAACATATTCCTTAATTTTTTTAAAGAAGAGGCAATTACGGTTTGTGGAGTCCAAAAGACGCATTGGCGTGCAATTGACAAGCAATGGTCAATTCTAAAGATTACCCATATTTTTTCTCCTCATCTATGTCTAATACTAAGAACTTAGGTGTGGCCACGCTTATTTCAGCTAAGGTAGCGTTTAAATTTATACACCAGAAAGCCGATATGGAAGGTAGATCTCACATATTAATTTGTGAAATCAATAATCAAATCTTTACTATGGTTAATGTGTATGCCCCAAATCATTCCCCTATAAAATGTATTCGTAAAAAGGATGACACATTAAAGATAAATCTAAGATAGATCTGACAGGCATTTAAATGAACGTTTGTTAAAAAAAATCTGAATTATTTAAGTCAAATTAAGGTAACAACAGATCTTTTCTTTAGAGAGAATCTTAATAATGAGGCATCAGTTCCGGTAATTTGGTGTGCGTATAAGTGTACGATATGGGGTTATTTAATTAAATTGTGACACCAAGAGAAAATGAAATGTTCGAAAAATTTAGCCCAATTATATATTGAATTGGACTAGGTGGAACAAGAAAATAAAATGGGACCCAGTTTTGAGTTGAGTAACAGATCGAAAATAATCAAAGATAAAATCAATGACTTTTTGATTCAAAAAGCCAATGTTGCCATGGATAGATAGAAAAGATCATGGTATTATAAAGGCAACAAGGCGGATAGACCACTTTCTAAAGAAGGAAAGGGCAAAAAAGATTGTTGCTAAAATCATTCAAGGGAATTCAACTATTTTGGCTCCCTCAAAGATAGCTCAAGCCTTCTAGGAATTGTATTATAATCTCTATAATATCCCAGACAGACATCTGCCAACAAGTCCGGAAGGTTTTTTTGAGAAAATAAAGCTTCCTAAAATACCCTAAGACAGTCTGAGCAATTTGAACGCACCAATATCAACAGTAGAGCTTAATCTAGCAATTAAGAAATTAAAACCTCATAAATCTCCAGGCCCAGAGGGTTTTAGTAATGAATTTTATAAATTGTTAAATGAAAATATAAGTACTAGTTTATCGAACACATTTAACGAATTTATGATTAATGGAAAGATTCCAGGCGAACTGTTAAAGGTTAATATAATACCCATTCCTAAACAACATAAAAATCCAGAGCCAATTTTCAAATTATAGACCCATTTCTCTATTGAATGTGGATGTGAAACTGTATTCATCAATAATTGCTGCTAGATTGAATAACATTATATCTGATATAATTCATCCCGACCAAGTCGGTTTTGTCTCTAAACGATCATCGGTGGCTAATGTCAGACAACTTATTGATATAGTGGATCTATTTCATAAGAAGAATTGATCCCTCCTGATCCTGTCACTTGATGCGGAGAAGGCCTTTGACAGGGTCAGGTGGGATTTTTTGAGTGCAGTTTTGGATGCATTTGGGTTACCGGAGAACTTAAAAACAGCCATAATGGCTTTATATACTTCTATGACAGCCAGAGTGGTGGGGGGTGGGATTACCTCTGACTGGTTCCCATACTGGTTCCCATACAAAGCTGTATTCCTGGCACTCTAGCTCCCTCTGCATCCCTCTCTATTGCGTCCCCTCCCACCCCTCCCCCCCCGCAATAAGTAAAGGGTTAAAAAACTTTATTTACTTACCTGATCCCAGCGTTGATGTCCGTTGGTGCTGGCTTGCAGCTTCACTTCCTCCTCCACAAGGAGCGGGTGCTAATGAGCATTAGACCTCCCGATAGGGAAGCATTAAATCAATGCTTTCCTATGGGGAAAAAATCTGACGCTGGATGTCTTCAGTCAGAGTGTGAGGACATCCAGCATCAGATACATCCATCATCAAAAATGCCTAATTAAATGTGTGCATGTTTTCATTGTGGGTATATCAACAAAACAGTGATTTTTTATTTTGTTGGATTTGGGTAGTGGAGTGTCAGTTTAAGTTTAGCCTTTTAATACATTTATAAGGGAAAAGGGGGAACTCCAGAAGAAATCTATTACAGTATGTGACGGACCGCCTGGCACCCCAACTGGGTACCTCCGTCAATCGCTGCTTCCTAGTACTTGCGAGTACCATAAGCACTGCGCTGGAACACCATAACCACCGTAAACCCCACGAACCGCCGCAGCTTGGTTGGGGTCTCGCCGTCCTCCACCCACCCTGGACCCAAGACCAGGATCCAGCTTCCAGTGGGTAGACCTCTCCTAGTCTAGAAAGCGTAGCAGGAACAGCTCTTACATACAAACCCTCCTCTCTGCCTGTGATATAATTGAGTCAGATATTGCATTAACCCAATTATCTCCAGGCAGAAAAAACACATGTTTTATAAAGTCCCATAAGTACCCCAAAACACAACATATCTCCATAAATGTTACATCCCCTGATAGCCCTGATCTGGGTGAACATATTCAAAAATCACCCAGATCATTTCAGGGGTTCAGAAATGTTATGGTAATCATGTATTTGACCGACCGCAGGCATGGCCCTATGCCCAAAATGGTTCCAGAGAATCAGGGCTTGCGATTGGTCTAGTTCGGTAGTTTGAAAATGAACAAACTACCAAACAGAGTAAATAGTCTTACATTAGAACACTGCAGTGAGAAAGATTCCAAGTTGTTAATAAGTGTCAACAAGCTCGAGGGCGGTCTCTGTTTGTGCAGTTGTTCGATAAACGAACCATATAGTCCCAACTGCACGAACACAGCCTGTTTTGAATTATTTTAGCCAGGTCTATTGCAGGGGCCATAGTCACAGGGTAGGAGGCTGGCAAACAGGCCCCTCCAAAAGCCAGTGACGAGGCTACTTTCATCACACAGTAGAACTCTGGATTAATTGTACATTGACATACCAATTTCCAGTATAGATATATAACAAAAACACATTGCAAAAAAATTAAGTTTAATGCTGAAGTTACGTAATGATAATTTCAGGTAGTAGTGTGTCAGCTATAAAATAAATCTGAAATGAGTAGTACTTTAGATGTGAGCTTTTAAGATAACATAATGTAACTATCAGATTTCCTATGTGGCCGTATGGTGGCTCATCTGCAGGTGAATTAGTTACACAAATAGAAATCTCAATATTACTGACAACATATGTCACTCAAAACTTAGGTTACTAGGTTTACGTGGTGGATTATATCTTATTGCCTTACAGTGTCAGGGATTAAACCTACAACCCAAGAGGAGTTCTGAAAAAAAACATCGCAGCCATTGTCATGCTGGGTGTATTGAGCCACAGAGAATAATCATTATGTAGTTACATAGTAATCTAGATTGAAGAAAGTCCATCTAAAAAAAAAAAACAATTTGAAGAAAACTCCAAATTATGCCGCAAAACATTTACTTCTTGACTCTGATTATTATCAGATTTCTTCTTGGATCAACAAACTGTCCACATACATATTTATTATACTCCTGAATATTCTGGTTTTCCAAAAAAATCATCCATGCGTTTTTAAAAAATATTTACAGAATCTGATAAGACAACCTCTTTAGGTTGAATTCCATATCTTTTTTGTCCTTACTGTAATAATCCGTTTCCTTTGCTGTAAGAGAAAATGACTTCTTTCTTGTTGTTGTATATTCCTTCTAATTGACAAGTTAGCACCTAATGGTTTTGTACTGATCCGCTATTTGTATTTGTATAGTGCTATGATATTCCATCTGGGACACATTTGAGACTATAAATGTAGTCTTTCCTACACTATGCTCCTCACTCAGAGGAAATTACCAAGCTTCATGGGAAAGTGTGAATCAGCCTTGTAAGAAATCTTCACGCACGTACAATGATCCAAAATATGTGACCTTACTCAACACTGTGCACTCTAGTTAGACCCAAGAATCCGCTTATAAACTATTAACCCTCTGGTGTAGGACTCCCCAAGTAATGCATGTGATAATGCTGACTATTGATGAGAACTGCCGAAGGTGGGCACTCTGCTTCATTTATGGTTATTATAGCTAAATGCTTTATACCCCTTTTCTGGAGGAAAGAGACCCCCCCCTCTTTATCCTATGGTTCTAGTGCATGGAAGAACTGATTTTTCAATCCAGAGGCAGGTTGCAAGTATACTTCGATGTTTGAACCCATTCGATGCTTACCACAGAATCCAATGATTTCCAATCACTCATAAGATAAAACCCAGGTTGAATGGTAAAATTGTCCCTGTAGGGATGACTCTGGTTGATGGAAAAGCTGAGTGTACCTGGGGCTTGATGGGGCAGGGTAGGGGACCCACCTTTCCCTTCCCTTTCTTCCTCTTCATCCCTTTTTTTTGTCTCTCTCTTCTTCACTTTCTCTCCCTTCACTCCCCCCCCCACCCCCAGTGATGTGAAACAGCCTTCTGGGACACAATTACCTATATTGCAAGAAATTTCACATCCACATATCCTGATGTTGACCATCTGGGGGAGCAGCAACTAACTATATCTCACACATAGAGGTTGTTACGCCGCTTAGATGCTGATTACAGTGACCCCCCGCCCCAATTCCTGGATTTCTGTTATAGCTAAATTGACTTGCACAATATGATTATACACTCTATGTTACAAGTCAACTACAATTTCTTGTATATTGTCTTAAGTTCGGGACCTGCGTCCACTGTTAAATTGTAATTTCGGAAACCTGCGAGCTTCCATATATGCTCTTTTCTCTTGCAACTTCTCAGGGAGACCTGCACATCTCATTAATGGCTTTGTTGACCAGCTTTGATTTTAGAGTAAAAAATCTCTAATAAAAAGAAATGTACAAAAAATTTAATAAATGTAGTCTTTCTAGTCTTTCTTTGTAACTGATGTTTTTCATTCCCCTTATTCATTTGTAGTTTTCTTCTGTGTGACGGACCGCATGCATGGTCCCATGCCCAAAACAGTTCCAGAGAATCAGGGCTTGCAGTCAGTCTAGTTCGGTAGTTTAAAATCCGAACAAACTACCGAACATAGTCAATGTTCTTACCCTGGAGCTTGTTCACAATGTTCGTGGGAACGTTTCCACTGAACAGTGCCCTTCTAAGTTGTGTAGAACCGAATGCAGATGATCCTGGAAGTCCAGTGGTGTTCGGGAGTTTCAGAGTCTGAAAACAGTTCCATGAACTCGACAACCAAACACCGTTGCCTGCGTTCGCGAGAACAAGATGGCCGCCACCTCATGGTCGTTCATGTGAACAGCGGCCTCCCAGACGAACACTTAGAACACTGCGGTGGAAAGTGTTACAAACTGTCAATTAGGCTTAACAAGCTCCCGGGTGGTCTTTGGTCCGTGCGCCTGTTTGGTTCCCGAGCCAAATATAAAACCCCACGAACCAAATCTGTTCACATAGTTTTTAAAGGGCCCGTAGTCTTTTGGCAGGAGGCTGGCAAGCAGGCCCCTCCAAGAACACGTGGCAGAGGCATTTTTGCTAATACTGCAATATTACTCTTTAAAACTTACACCGCATATTCAAGTTGGTGTCTGACTATTGATTTATAAAGAGGCAAAATAATATTTTTGATCATGTGAATCAATACCAGTATATCAATAAGTGGCTTGTGGATACCACATTTATTTGTAGTGAATCTCATCTGCCATTTACATAGTTACATAGCTGAAAAGAGACTTGCGTTCATCAAGTTCAGCCTTCCTCATATTTGTTTTTTGCTGTTGATCCAAAAGAAGGCAAAAAAAAAAAAACCAGTTTGAAGCACTTCCAATTTTGTAACAAACTAGGAAAAAAATTCCTTCATGACCCCAGAATGGCAGTCAGATTAATCCTTGGATCAAGAAGCTATTATCCTAAATTGAAAAATGATATCCTTGAATATTCTGTTTTATTCCAGCCACAGAAGGTAAGCTCACAGGTCTATAATTTCCAGGCAAGGATTTTGAACCCTTTTTGAACATAGGAACCACATCTGCCTTCCTCCAATCCTTTGGAACACTTCCTGAAAGAAAAGAATATTGAAAGATTAAAAACAGAAGTTCACTTATTTTTACACTTAGTTGCTTAATTACTTGTGGATGAATACTGTCAGGCCTTGGAGCTTTGTTTATATTAACTTTCTTTAGTTGCTGCAGCACGTTGTCTTGAACTAAACAATTAAAAATGTTCTGCAAGTTTTTAGCAGCAATCATTTGCACATCTATTGCCATGGGTTCTTCCTTAATATATATGGAGGAGAAATAGTTATTTAAAATTTCTGCCTTTTCCTGGTCTTCATTAACTAACACCACTATCCCAGTTTCTAGTGTACCTACACTTTAATTTTTTTTAATTTTTTTTTTTTTAGAATTTATGTACTTAAAACATGCTTTGGGGTTTGTTTTGCTCTCTTTGGCTATAATTTTTTTCATTTTGAAGTTTAGTGAATCTAATTGCCGTTTTGCACACATTATTGGCTTCCTTATATCTTTAATAGGATGTCAATGATTTGTCCGATTTAAATTCTTTAAATGCCCTTTTTTTAATCTCTTGTTTTATTTCTCTACTAGGCCACATTGGCTTCAATTTGTTTCTTTTATATTTATTACCCAATGGTACATACTGAGGAATGTACCTTTTAATATTTGTTGGAAGATGTTCCATTTATCCTCAGTGTTCTTTTCACTAAAGAGTTTATGGCAGTCAATATATTGTAAAGCTGCCCATGGACTTCTTAAAATTATATGTTTTAGTATACCCCATGTGCTTTTGTTTTTTTGAGTTTATTTCAAAGGACACTATATTGTGATCACTATTTCCAAAGTGCTCACCTACTTGAATGTTGGTCAAAAGATCAACGTTGTTTGTTAGAAACAGGTCCAGACAAGCGTCCTTTCTAGTTGGTGCTTGTACAAGTTGTGACATGAAGGTGTCATTTAACAAGTTTAAAAACCTAATTCCCTTTGCTGAACTACTAACCCCTCTGTCCCAATTTATGTCCAGGTAATTAAAATCTCCAATAATTAACGTGTTACCTAGATTTGCAGCTTTCTCAATTTGCTCAAACAGCTGTTATTCCTCGTCAATATTAACATTAGGTGGTTTATAACATATCCTAACCAATAGTTGGTTTCCCTTCTTTTCCCCCCAAGCAGATATTTACCCATAAAGCTTCCACATCTTCCTCATCACATTCCACTTGCTTACGATTTGGATTTACCCGTCATGTGCCTCCATTTATCTAAATCCTTCTGTAGATAGGTTATATTATGTTCATACATGGTTTTGTGTAATTTGCATATACTGGCACTTTTAATACCCGTTACAAGATCATGTTTGTGTTTTCATCTGCAGTACTGAATGTCTGGCACCAGGGGGCTTGGAGCTTCTTCTGCCTTCCTTGAAGATGGTGCTGTTTATCCTAGTAATCAAGAGCCAGTCCTTAGTGTCCTGCGTGTATGTAAACCCAGACCTTGAAAATTCCAGAGTCTTTGAAAACTGGCTTATGTGTGTGGAACCTGGTAACATGTATAGCTTGGAGGAACGACGAGACAGGGTGGATATGATAAAAACATTTAAATACGTAAAGGAGGGGACTGTATTTAAAAGTAGAAAAACTACCACAACATAGTTTTAAATTAGAGGGGCAAAGGTTTAAAAATAATATCAGGAAGTATTACTTTACTGAGAGGGTAGTGGGTGCATGGAATAGCCTTCCAGTTGAAGTGGTAGAGGTTAACACAGTAAAGGAGTTTAAGCATGCGTGGGATAGGCATAAGGTTATCCTAACTATAAGATAAGCCTAGGGACTAATGAAAGTATTTAAAAAATTGGGCAGACTAGATGGGCAGAATGGATCTTATCTGCTGTCACATTCTATGTTTCTATGTTACTTAGTGTGATGATCACTTTTTTGTTGACTTAGAAGACCAAGCCAAAGGAGAGGATGAACTGATAGATAAATGGTCATATAGTGCCTAGCAAGTGGTTTATTGCCCTGCCATAGGGTCTATGGCTTATTGGCTTCTTTTTTTATTGAACACTTTGGCTAAGTTATTGTATGAAAGGTGAACAGAGACTGAAAAGGTGCAATAGAAAGAAACAGATAACTCTGTCTGAGGTACGTAGGGAACCTCAAGTAGATATATGTTAAACCCTCCAGTCCAGATTGGAGATTATGTGGCCACAAAAAAATAAACTGATCCCAAGTCAGAAGAAATTAATTCGGATATCCCATTCCACACACAACTGTATGGTCCAAAAATTAAAGACTCTGTGAAGACAGAAACATTTTATATGCCTCTGCTGGTTACACATAGTCCACTTCAGAATTGGTGATTGGTTGAGTGTATAGCATGAAAATTGCAAAACATCACTTAGAAAATCTAAAGCATACTGGACAATAGTGTCAGCATCATAGTATAATCATGGTCAAATACTAGACAAGGGGCATTTTTAAGTAAAATAGCCAACGTTATAACCCCCAGGTAAATTACTCCATATCCAGAGTGATGTTGCATGTCTCTGTGAAGGCATATCTGTGTTTATATATGTAGGGGTGTTTTGTAAAATAATATATAGAATATTTAATTAGTTTAATGAAAGAGTGGGCGATGAAGACATTCCCCTTTGCGAGGGAGGTTAGCAGTGACTTATTCATATAATTAATGTGACTGGTATTACTAAAATATGTTGATTAAAAAGGAAATCCGTGAAGCTGGTAAACATAGGTGCAATGCCCTTAAGGTAAAATGAATAAGTAAGCCACACACCCTTTAATTGCTGTCATTTTTCCCTTGATATTGGCAGGTGAGCTTACATTTTACAAGTCGTTGCAGTGATACCAAAAACCCTTGTAATTTAAAAGCACATATGGATTTGGAAAAGTATGTAAGTAACGTTTTTTTAACCTACTTTTTTTTTTAAATATATACTTGGGCTAAAACCATTGCTGCTGCCCAAGAATAGTGGGAGTTTGAGTGCAGGGGTAATTTCTGTGTTAGTTATTTCTTTTATATTACACTGCCTTGTTATAGCACAGCCCTATTCATGGTTAATTAGTTTGTAGGGATTCATAAAAATACTCCTTTATGTCCCATTAGAAATTGTGGACCTACAGATATTGGGGTACTGTGACGTAGTGGTGGGCTTAACACAATATGGCCATATGGTGAAACTGAATCCCCATTTTTGTTCGCTAAGATAGGTGATTTTAGGTAGCCTTAGGTAGTAAAATGTAAAACTGTATTTTTATTTTATTGCTTAATTTTTGTTGGTTAATATGCACTGTTCCTTAATATGTATTTTATATCTCAGTTAAGGTCTTGGATAAAATGACATTGGCAGCAAGATACAGCTCATTGAAGCAAATACCTAGCATAAAGCAATATATAAATATAAAATACATTTATCTCATATAGAAGTGGGATTTGTATAAAAAGATCAACTCTTCTACTACCTGGTCCAGGGCTGCTCCCTTATCGGTGTTGCGATCTGCGTTACCTGATCTAGGTGTGGAATATTGGCTTTCCCATTCTGTCATACATATTAATGATTTATTTGTGTCTAATAAGTTTTTACCAATTACAGACCAAGTTTGGTCTGGATGCCTTGGATGCCCTGATGCACAGACAGATGGTAGATTTACTTAGTGATCATTTTAATGTGTCTGATCAGGATCTAAACATACATAAAGTTCTAATGTCATCATCAGAAAAAAAATTATCATTCAGATCCTGGTTGCAAGCGCACCATCTCAATGTGCTATACTTCTTTTGCTGGGGAACCTGGTCCAAAATTAGATTATATGACAAAATGGGAAAACGAACTGAAAAACGAGTTTAAAGTGGAGGAATGGCACGAGATTCTGATGGCATTACACGGTATTACACGGTCTGCAGCGCTTTTGGAGTCTCATTACAAACTTATATAGATGGTACCTGACTCCCTCTAGTCTTGTTTAATGGCGGTCAAGTTGGTACTTGTATCATGTCTTTTGGTCTTGCCCTAAACTAAAACAGTATTGGGAAGATATTCACACTCTAACTAAACTCATCGCTGATCAAATCCCCATTATAACACCAAAAATGTGTCTCCTGAAGAGATTCCCAGATGATTTGTCCAAAATTAAAATAATTATTTTAGGCCATCTCTTGATTTCAGCCACTTTGGTCCTTCCTCGATATTGGAAAAC